CTCCCCCTGCGGCGGGGAAGGGTTGTCCCCGCCCGGGTGCCGCTGTCCCCTTATCTAAGCAGGATGGGGTTGTGTCTCTGCAGTTTCGCAAGCGTTTGGGAAACCGCACGGGCGCTTCGCATTGGTGAAGCTCGGTGCTCGGCCGCGTTTTGTGGGAACATCCCTGAGATGCAGCCCAGTGCGGTTTCCTGCTTTTGGTAGTGGGGAGTTGGTGTTGCGCTCGTGTCACCATCGGGCAGGACGCGTGTGAGCTCTTCCAGGCTGAGATAATGCCAGGAGCTGGAAATTAGCCTCGCTTGCACCCTGAGATCGGGGGCTACGGACGCCTCCAGTTATTTCCAGTTCTTCTTTACCGAGTACTTGCTGCTCTGTTGGTTTGGATCTACGTAAACACCACACGTACAGAGACAGTTGTGCTTGCTTCGTGGTTTCCTAGTCATCTGCAATGTACACCCTAGTTGACGGTCAGACTCCCATCAGAAAGGAAAGGAAGAGCTTCCTCTGATGGTGCAGCTTGTACCTGAATCTCCTCCAGCTGATACGCAGCCAGTCTGCTCCAAACCATGATTTTGAACAGTGTGGATTCAGGCCAGCCCACAAAAATTAGTTTCAAGGTTAGGGCTTATTCCTAATGAGTGAAGCAGAGAAAGATAGACCAAACTGAAAAGTTTCTGCAGTATCAACGTGTTTGTCCTCTTGATGTTTGTCTTCCTTCTGCTTAAAGTGACTACATCTCTGGAAGTCAGAAGAACCTGGACTTCTGATCTAACAGACGCATCTAACTGTCTTAAATTCTTGCTGTTTACTGTAATTTCCCTCAGTGACTTTTGAAGTGGTGCTCTTAGATGAGTATTTTTTAGTGAAGAGTAATTGGAATAGTGTGATGCTCAGGGGAGAGAAGTGGCAAGGAAGGATTTTTCTGCAAGGCCGTTTACACTAATGATTTAGAGAATACATCTTAACTGTTAGTTCAGTCTTCCTTGCTCACTGCATGTATTCTATGCGTCTTGAATAACGCTAGGGTATATATACTAGAAAGGTAATAAAACCAGATAATTTGAAAAGTACCTATGTATGTGGTTAATTATGCTCTTTTTATTACTTCCTTGTTTTAGTGCACTTTAGTTCCATGATTTGTTTTTAAACTACTGTCATAGATTTCTTGAAACTGGTGTATTCTACCTCTTCCTAAAGTGAGGGAGGGAGGGAGGAAGGAGTAAAGCACTTGCATTGTCTTGAGTCTACAGCAGTGTGTCATAAGGCATCTAAAAAAATTCACTGGGAACACTAACAAAACATGAAACAGCAACTGAACTGACAGGTTTTCAAGGTAAGGTCCTAGTCTAAAATAAATATCCAGTGCTTGAAAAGACCAGATTGCACCTGTAAAAGCTTTTCAGGTGAACCTCAAAAGGAAAAGGTAGACTTAAAGAAGTTGCTTACCTGAAATGAGTTTTTAAGAAGAGAAGATGTTTTAATGAAAATTGATAAATTTAAGTCAAATAAACAAATGACCTAAGTACATAAACAACTCATGCGAATTGAAAATGTAGTCATCTGCAGCATAGCAGTATCCTAATTACAGACCCTATCCTGCAAGCACATCCTTGGGCAAAGATATTTTTTACATCCTCATTGTGCTTTCAGTCATAGTTTGATAATAATAATGTCTTCAGCAGTAATAACAGGGTAAAGAGTTTCCACTAACATGGCAGATTTGCTGATGCATTTTTTTGTAATGCTGTGTTATCCACATGGAATCATGGAATTAAGAGCTTTAAAACTTATCTCAAATCCTTTTTTGTAATCTTAACTCTGAGTTTTCATATTGGATTAATTTTCATTTTTTATTACCTGGATTAAATTTTTAGGACTATGCAGTCCTGTACTCAGTTTCCTATTGGCATCACTGAGGAGATGAATTATTGTGATACATGGGCGTATTCTATGGGAGGAGTAAATACCTTTAACTAGCATTACTCTGAAAGACTACATTATTAACGTTCAACAACTGTTGTAACTTAGTGCGAGTATAATCGACAGATCTGTAGAACGTGGTCTTTCTTAAGAAATAATGCAAGTAGTTTTTTAGATGTGACATGGATTTATAGTTTTCAGAGGTAAGCTGCAGGAGTTCTGTTTCTACAAGTACAACGGAAATATGTCGGTAATCTCCACTGCGTCTCTGACAGCTTTTTCAGTGAACAAAGTTATTGGACACATTATTTTAAAGTTTGCATATTGAAGTGTGTGGGTATATACAAATATTTTAAAAATCTCCTATTTTAAATCATGGCACCTTTAAAGCCTGTGGAATTGTGGAATCAATTTTATTGATGCAGGGTCTGTCTGATTCAAGACCTGCAACAAAGCATGGATCTGTTTTTCATGGTGAGAGTGTGCCCATTATTCCAAGACAACTGCTTTCAAGCAAATTAAACATTGGTGATTTGAATGCCTGAATAACTAGCCTGGTCCTTTGATTTGTATTCCCAGCAGTGCATATTAATGTTGACTGGAGGAGAATGAATAGTTATGACAGCCAAACTGTAGACACCAATATGTTGAAAGAGTTGGCTATTGTAAAGGGATTTCATTTGTTAGGTGTTGTGGGAAGCATTTGTGCTATTTCTCTTTAGGAGTTTTAATTTAGGTGATCTAAATTGGCTGTGGAGGAAGTTCAGTTTTTTCTACTGCTCTTAATAGTGGATTCATGATTGCCTACTTAGGTGATTACATATATGGTATGAATTTCCCCTCTCAGAACTCCTTATTTTATATCCTGTATCGAGAATTATCTGAACCTTGCACAAGACAATGGTTGGTGCCAACGTTTAACAGACAGGAGAAGTAAGAAAAAGTCATGCTGATGCTTATAAGAAGCTGGTATATTGTAACTTTTCCGTTGTAATTCGATTCTAATTTCAGTATGACATGCTTTAAGTCAATGTATGCTTCTGGTATGGAATCTGAAATTTATTCGATTTCTTGCCACCTTAAGCTATAAAATTCCGGTTGCAATTACATCCTTGCAGTCTATGCTACACAATGTAATCAGTGTTCTTGTGTAGGAACAAAGGTTATATTTACAGTAATTTCTTGAATAGTCAGAACAGGGAAATGGTCAGAAAACCAAAGTAGAATCATCTAAATGGGGTGTTATATGTGGATTAGGAAGGCCATTCATTATGTCACCATTATACTGAGAATTTTTGTGCCTCTCCTTGCAGCACTCACCAATTGCTTCTGATACATATCTATTGTCATACGGTGCTGTATCCTGAGGTTTTATTTTTGCAGATACATTAAGTGAAATTTTGCTTACCTGGTAAAAATGGACTTTAGCGATTCAGTTCTTATCTATACTAAGAAGTGTACTCTGCATTCAAATAAATGGT